GGCCTTCTGGTGAAGCTCAGTTTACTAAAGGCGTTTTGGTGAGGCCGCTCCTTAGTTGTGGCGTTCTGATAATTTTCCCCAACTTTACTAGTGAAAACTAAGGAATATCATGAAACCCTTTGCATCGACAACTTCTCAACAACCACAAAGAGAAAAAATGGAACAAGGAATGGACAGGAGGATAGATGAATAGATGAAACCGAACAAATGCGAAGTGGAGAGTTTCAGAATTTCAATTTGCTAAAAACATACAAAAATGCCACAATTCATGAACAGCAAATTGGCATTCAACCTGAAATCCTAAACTAACTGGGAATGCAATCACATTCTTCTTTTCTTCGCGTCACTGATGACTTCAATTTTTTTTTTTTTTCGATTTCCTCATTCCCAACAACAAAAAGCTAATAATTCCGAATAAATGAAAAGGTACAAGGAGAATCCTCCATACTTGGAAACTTCCAACTTCCACTTTTCATATACTTTCGATCAATCAGGCAGCGACACCTGTACAAGCTGTTACTGGGGCGTGATTATGTTGTTTGGCCGAACTGTATTTCCTTGTGATGAATCTGAGGGAAGGGAGGAAATTTGTCATTAACGGTAGATAATACAAGACTCTTATATAGCTGTTAGCAGTATAAAAGGTTAACAGAAACTCGAGTCACCTGAAAAAATCCCTCCACAGGAGCTCATACATTAACCAGTTCATCCCGGTATCATTTGAGCTGGCTGCACCATTTTTCGTATTAGAAGCACCAGACATCATGCTGCAGAACAAAAGGTTATCATCAGCCAAACAAATCATGGCAAAGGAGAAAAGGAAAAGCACCATTAGATTACAAAAATGTTAAATACACCACGATAATTCTTTCTATTCGAGTACTTGTTAATGAAATCACACCTAATGGGAATACTTAGAATATAAAGTTTCTCATCCATATTCAATCCAACTCAAAATTTAACTCAACTTTAACTCAAACTCACTGTGCTCAATATTATCAGTATAATTAAATAATACCAATAAATCATTATTACATATCACGTCAACTTTAAATTAAATCATACCTATCAATATTATTACACATCACATCAACTTTAGCTCACTAACATAATTTTAACCAACCATCACTTCACATCATCTCTCTCCTACTTTTACAACAAATCAACTTTAATTATTTTATTTTAAATATTAATTTAATATAAACTCAAAATCTAACTAACAACTAACCATATCACATTTTTCTAAATTAACTCTGGTTAACCAAAAACAAGAGGGAAATTTTTGTATCCAAGCACGCCCTCATATTTTACTAAAACCTTTTTGTTTTTTATGAAATTTTAGAAAACAAATGGCAAGACTTTTGCAATCACCTTGAAGCTGACTTCTTGATCTCGTCAAACATGGAGCGAGGGGAAAGGCATCCCATGGCAAGCCATGGCGATATTTTGCAGGAAAAGTTTGCACCATAAATGCTATCTTTGGCTCCATCCTTGATACCATTGTTTGGTTTGGTCTTGCATTCAGCAGAAAAATTTCTTAGCCTCTGCAAGGCTTCAGTCTCTCCACCCACAAGAGATGCATTAGCAGCTGCGTTACCGTTCTACAAGAGAAAAATGATTATATCAAATCAACCTCAAATATTATAAATAAAAAATAATAATTATTAAAAAAAAAATCCCTTTTCTATGAAGGGCAGTCTATGAAGTTTATCCCTTTTCTTACGTGCAATTCCCTTCTTATTATGCATCTTAAACTTATTTCTATCTTATTTTCATTTCCAAAGCACACGGGAGAACACTATTTTGCTCTAAAGCTCGGGCTCATGTTCACACAACTGCTTTATTGAGCAACAATTCACTATCATCTTCACTACATGAACCATCAGCTTCCTTCTATAAGCCTCAGATATCCTTTATCCATAAGCAAAGCCAATATGAATGAAATTCTGCATTTCGCAACATTGCAATTACAGTACTCGTCAGGGAGCACCTTACCGACAGAATAAGTGAATTCAGGTCACATTGATTTGAGTATTACACTAAACACATATCGTATATTCAAAATTCTCCTGTATGTTAAAGAAAGTCACAAATATCTTTACCTAACCAAATATCAAAAGACAACCTCTAAATCACTTGACACTCCCAAAATCCACAAATTCTTTACCAGAGCTAAAAAAAATGCACAATTCATCTTCTTTGCAATCTGTATAATATATCTGAATTCATTCAATACCTGCCCCATTGTGGCGTTTGGATTAAGCCCCAAATCGACCAACGATGGAACTTCTCCGGGCTCGATATCTCCTTTCTTCGGTAAACCTTTCAATTTATCCAAAGCCTCGATCGTCTTGCGAACCTCCAAACTCTTCACCTTCTCTTTAAATCCGCCATAATTTGTCGGCATATCTGCTAATTCAAACGGCAAATCCTCCATGTGGTACAATGTGCTTCCCCAGAAGTACTTCACCTCAACCCCCTCATCCTTCATGACCTCCTCAATCTTCTCCTCCGCCTTCACCTCGTCGTGCGAGACCTCTCTGTGCATGTAAACAGCCTCCGCCCCGACCGCCTTAACCACCTCCAGCAGGACGCTTTCGGGCCGCCCGATCCTAACCACGAGATCCGACCCGCGGTCCTGGAGGTTCTTCCTCAGATCTGAGACGGACTCGATCAGGAACGTGGCCCGGTAGGGCCCGGTCTTGTCGAACCCGGACGAGGACTTGCCGTAGTCACGCGGGTCGAAGCAGTAGACGGGCAGGACGGAGAGTGAGTCGTCGTTGGCGGCGGAGAGACACTCGTTGTCGTGGACGCGGAGGTCGTTGCGGAACCAGACGACCGAGGCGCGGCGGAGGGGGCCGGCGCCGGAGGGGTTGGATGGGCGGAGGGGGTTGAGCGGGAGGGGGGTCTGCAGGAGGCTGGGCGACGCGGCGGTGGGCTTGAGGGTGAGGAGGAGCCTCGCCGGGCAGAGGGCGGAGGAGAGGGAGTATCGGGAGATGGAGGAGATCTGGGATGGGATTTTGACCTTGTTCGGCGGGGTTGGGAGCCGCTTGGTAGGTAGGAGACGGGAGGGAAGGAGGGTGGAGAGAGAGAGTGAGATGGAGGCGGCGGGGAGGAGAGAAGGGGAGTTCTGGTTCAGGGATTCTTGTTGTTGGTCCGGCTGCATTTCCTCGGAAGTTTCAGAGGGGTTTGGTAAGGACTCCATTGTTGGTGAGGAAGATGCTGATAGATGATAAGCTTTATCGGTTTGCTTGGCTTTGTTATTTTTTGGTAGCGTATTTATTTTTTTTATTTATTTTTTTTTCGGATTTGTCGTATGAGGTTAGGTAGCAAAAGAGTCGAGCCGGGTTGATTTTTTTAGATAAAAGTGAAGTAAAATGTGGTATTTCCAGTAACTTTTAGAAGAAAAAAAAAAACAGTAGACTTGTATTAAATATTAATCATATAAATTAACACTGCAACAAATTAGAGGGAGATTCTACGATCCCGTTATGGAATCATTCTGTCGAGATTTATAACCGTTAATCAATTATGATTTAAAAGTTACAAATCCTGACGAAATGAATCCATAACGAGACGGTAGCATTTTCCCAAATTAGAATACAGCTACACCAACTAACATCAATTTTTTTTTTTTTTTTTT